ATTTTGCTTCTTGTAGATGAGCTTTCTTTTGGACTATTTCAGCCTAAGGATATGTGGAATGGGATCTAATCCTTCCGTTTGCCCTCACCTGACACTGAAATACTCACTTAATGGATATGGAACTTGAGAACTCCCCATAGAGATCAGAGACTGTGGATGAACCACAGGAAGATAGACATGGATTTCTTTTGATAGATCTGAAACTTTAAATGTGAAATAGACTCATAGGTTTTCTTTCATTCAGCACACAACACAGAGTAGTGTTTCTGCACCTCTTTTAATATAAGACAAACACCTGAACTTACTAGAGCCCATCAATAAGTGGATCTCACACTACTTTTTAGTATCTGTGATGGACCTGCTAGGGACTATATGCGGAATAAAGAAATACATGATATGGTTCTGGTCCCCCAGGTTGAAACCTGAGTGATGATATTCAGGAGCACTTGAAATGTTCAAACTGTGTGATACTTATAAGAATTCATATATATTTTTTAAGATTTTATTTATTTATTTGACAGAGAGACAAAGCGAGAGCCGGAACACAAGCAGAAGGAGTGGGAAAGGGAGAAGCAGGCTTCCTGCAGGGCAGGGAGCCTGATGTGGGGCTCGATCCCAGGACCCTGGGATCATGACCTGAGCCAAAGGCAGATGCTTAACGACTGAGCCACCCAGGCGCCCCAAGAATTCACATTTTTTAAGATGCTTAATTACTTATTAAATCAATTAAAAGCATGCAGTGAGAAGCAAGGGGAAAGAGAATGGGGGTAGTTAACACATTTAGTGCAAGCCAGTAGAAGGACCATGCTATGTTATGTACAGGTTATACAATGTTCATATGCCTTCTCTCTCTTCGTTGCAAGGCCTTTTTGGTTTTAGGGAGCAGGGACTCTCCTTGCCAGCTTAAGTCTTCTTGAAAAGGAGGTGGGGTTGGAGTTCTCATGGGAATCCAAGAAATGAGAGACAAGGAGTGGCCCAGTGGTCCTGAAGAGTGAGAGTTCTTGGTTATTTGTGCTTGCCCTAGTTTCCTTGAGTTTGCTTCACTATCTACTTATCTTTTGGCTGCCAACAGCCATCCTCACCCCCTGTTCTTTTTAGTACTTCTCTACCTCACAGGTTCTGCTTATGCTGGTTCTGGCTTCCTCATGACTTCAAGTCCCACTGGGCCCTTACTCTCTATCATGGCTTCATTGCATCCGTTCAGGGCCTGCTTTCTGTGCTTTTGATCTTCATATTTCTTATCCACACCCCCAGTAATGAGCATCTGGCTGAAGTTTTTCTTGCTAGGGTAGAGCTTTCTATGCAAGAGGATCCCAGAGGCCAGAAACTGTGTGCCCTCCCTTCCTTACTTGGACTCAGTTGGGTGAGACCAGGTGTGAGGTGGGTCGTGTGGTGCACATGTGGCTGCCAAGCCCACCTTTGTATCAGAGTTGGGGAATGGGCATTGCCCTCTGAAGTGGCTGTGGGCCTGGCAGGTACGTTGGAGAGCCTTTGGGGCAGTGGGACTCGAGTAATAGGATTTGAGCAGGCTGGGATTAGAGGAGGGATGGTCTGGGAAGAAGACACAGATCTGACCCATGAAGAGCCAGCATGTGGGCAATCAGAAGCCTGCTAAGAGTGAGCAGGGAGGAGGTTGGATTATAAGGGCCCTAAAGGCCATGTGGGGGAGGTAGATGTTTTTTATAGGTGACAGGTCATCTCTGTAGGCTTTTAAAAACCCAGCTGCCAGAACAGACTTGAGACCTGCTAAGAGGCCACTGACGCCAGTCGGGAGTGAGATAATGTGTGAGAGGAAACAGAGTGAGCAGGTGGTCATGGGACTGGAGAAAGAACAAACATGGGCTGACATAACAACAACAACTGGATATGGCAGCTTCAGGTCCAGGTGGAAAGGAGTATATTCTAGGGGAATAGTAGCTTCTGTATCAGAACCAGGAATGCAGTAGCCAACACCCAGCATAGAGATTTTCGTGCCTTCATTCGCAGGGTGGCCGGTGGGACACAGCTTTTCACAAGTGTCCTGCCGGGTTTGTGAACCGTCTCTGTCCGCTTTATCGATCAGTCGTAAACATCCATTCTTGTGTCCTGTCCTTGCCCAGCTTTTTAGATACCTTTACTCCAGCTGTTTCATTCAGTGCCAACCAGAAGGACAGTGTTCCTGGGAGCTCTACACATTATAATTTGGCCAGGAACCCAATCCATTGCATACCGATGCCCTCTATCCTGGATTTTGCCCTTGCAACCTGGTCAGACATTTGGGCTTGTTCAGAGAGTGCTAGTGTGGAGCCTTTGAATTTGGCTCGAGTGTTTTGGAAAATTGTGTGGTCCATCGGGTGCTTAGACTGACTTGTAGCCTTTCTTGCTTTATTTATATTGTTTATTATCAGAACGATAAGAGTTAAACAACTTGGATGCAACTCAATTTTTAAAAATTTATTTTTTAAATTGAGATAAATTGACGTATAACATTGTATTAGTTAGGTGTGCAGTGTAATTATTTGATATATGTATATAATGCAAAATGATTACTACACTAAGTCTAGTTAACATCCATCATCATACATAGTTACAGATTTTTTTCTTGTGATGACAACTTTCAAGATTTACTTTGTTAGCAACTTTTAAATACATATAACACAGTATCATTAACTGTAGTCACCATGCTTTACATTACCGCCCTAGGACTTACTTATCTTATAACCAGAAGTTTGTACCTTTTGACCACTTTTACCCATTTTGCCCACCCCCCTCGTCTGACAGCCACCAATCTGTTCTCTGTATCTGTGAGTTTGATTTTTTTTTTTTGGTTCCACATATAAATCAAATCATATAATTTTTGTCTTTCTCAGTCTGATTTATTTCCCTTAGCACAATGCCCCTCAAGGTTTACCCATTTTGCCCCCCCCCCTCGTCTGACAGCCACCAATCTGTTCTCTGTATCTGTGAGTTTGATTTTTTTTTTTTGGTTCCACATATAAATCATACAGTATTTGTCTTTCTATGTCAGACTTATTTCGCTTAGCATCATGTTCTCAAGGTCCCTGATGCAACTCAATTTAAAAAAGGCCTGATACGGAGTAGGCTGACTTTGAACAACAGATAAAACAGAGGGGGTAATTACTTGCTGACTGCAATAATGCAGTAATGCTGATTGCAAATAATGAAGGATATGGACTCATCTCTTAAGTTGTATGAGCCTTCATTTCCTCATCTGGGAAAAGGATAATAATCCCTGCTATGTCTACCTTTCAAAGGTTTTGAGATACTCAGATGAGATAGGTGTGTGTAGTGCTTTGTAAATTTGAAAGCATTCTATGAATTTAAGATATTAACTGATGATTAGTGGCTTCTGGGGCATTTAAAAATGGTTTGATCTACATTTAGTGGAAACTCACCTAGTATGAAAACTTTCAAAATGGAATCTCAAGGTTATATCACAGCTCAACATTTTATAGTCATATTTCATCTTTGAAAGTCCACAGAGGAGGGAGCTGGGTGTTCCTGAAAAGAATTACTTGCTGGAAATGGGTGTGTGTGTGTGTGTGTGTTGGGGTGGGAGGAAGGGTGCAGAGGTGGTCGGCTGTCTTTTCTAGGGATAGTGAGTAGAATGCCCTCCTAATGATTAATTTCTTTTTTTTTAAAGATGTTTTTATTTATTTATTTGACAGAGAGAGAGAGAGAGAGAGGGAACACAAGCAGGGGGAGTGGGAGAGGGAGAAGCAGGCTTCCCGAGGAGCAGGGAGCCCGATGCAGGGCTCGATCGCAGGACCCTGAGATCATGACCTGAGCCCAAGGCCGACGCTTAATGACTGAGCCACCCAGGCGCCCCTAATGATTAATTTCTTGATAGTGTGTGCAGAAGCAGGCAACTTGGTGGCTTATTAGCAGTCATAACCTCTCCTTTTCTTTCCTAGTTTCCTTTTGTCCTAAAGGATCATGCTGCTTGTGTTCACCTCTTGGTTCCATGAAGGTGGCCCTTGGCAAGTAGCACCTTAGCCTTTGGGTAGATGGGAGGGATGGAACAAAGCCCTAGGCTACTCCTTCCAGAATCACCAGTTTTGCTTCTTCCCTCACTGCCTAGTACAGTTTTTTACCCTGAACTATTTTTCTGGTTCTCTGTATCCTTAAATCCTCACATTTGCCTTGCATGCCCCCTAGTGGCAGGTCTGATGCACCCCTTGTTATGTTACCCTGTTGGGGTCCCATGAGCAGTTCTCCCCACCCAGTTCTATTACCAAGTATTATCCATAGTTCACAAATGCGGAACAAGAGGTTCTGTGATCCTGACTTGCCGCTCGAGTAGGACCTGGGGAGGTGGAATTGGAATTGGAACTTTTGATTCCCAGATTTATACAATGGGAATGCCTCAGAAAAAAGATGACGTGGTTATAGCTTTTGTAGATATAAAAAAAATGGTTTAAAAGAAATCTAGATTATTTTGCTGCCTACTCAACTAATCTAAAAGGATAAAAATGTGAATATTTGAAGGTAAGAATGATTGTCCTTTTGGGGCACCTGGTTGGCTCAGTTGGTTAAGCATCCCAACTCTTGATTTCACTCAGGTCCTGATCTCAGGGTTGTGAGATTGAGTCCCGAGTCTGGCTCCACACTGGGTGTGGAGCCTGCTTAAGATTCTCTCGCTCCCTCTCTCTCAATCCCTCCACCCCTCACACCCGCTCTCTAAATGAATGAATGAATGAATGAATGTATGTTTAAAAAGAATGATTGTCCTTTTTCCTCTTCCTTCATCACATTGGAAAAACTTTCATCATTCACCAAGTGTTCAGTATTTCAAGCTCAGTCCTGTTAACAACTTTGAGGTATACAAAAAAAATATAAAGTATGATGTCTGCCCTGTAGAACTTTATGTTCTAATTATGTTCTAGTTACAAGGTGTTTAAATGTATTTTCTTGAGGAAAAAAATAAGTATAATGCATGATAACTTTTACTGATGTTTTATGTTTTTACCTCTGAGCATTTGCTTATTTATTTTTAAAAGTCCTTTTCCGTGGAGAGAGAACCGCATGATAACAACAGTAATTACCCAGATGAACCCTGGCGGATAACAGAAGAACAGCGAGAGTACTATGTCAATCAGTTCCGATCCCTTCAGCCTGACCCGAGTTCCTTCATTTCAGGTAACTAAGTCTGATGGGTGAAGACATGGGTCCCAGATCATTGTCTCAGATAGGTAACAGTACACATCTTGAGATATAGTTCACACAAAATCAATGTGACAACCTCTGTGATTTTGATTTGTTTTCCTCTAAGGTTGAATTTTTTTTTTAAAGATTTTATTTATTTATTTGAGAGAGACAGAGAGAGAGAGAGAGACAGCGAGAGAGGGAATACAAGGGGGGCGTGGGAGAGGGAGAAGCAGGCTCCCCGCAAAGCAGGGAGACCGATGTGGGGCTCGATCCCAGAACCCTGGGACCATGACCTGAGGCGAAGGCAGCCGCTTGACTGAGCCACCCAGGCGCCCCTAAGATTGAATTTCTTATCAGCTATAAACCATGCAGAAAAATACTTGGCAATGACATTTGGAAAATTATATTTCGGTTTCAAAGGTTTAAATGGGAATTTGGGGGAACCTGGTTTAGACCTGTGCCTTATTAGTTGGAGCAGTTCTTGAAATGGTAGACTGTGGCACCAAGACGACCTCTTTAATTGCTTATTCATATTAGAGCAAAGATGTAGTGTAGCCTTCTAAAGATTTAGTGTCACAAGTCTCTTACTGTTATGTATGCTTTAGAAGTCCAAATTCATGCTCGTTTTCTTTGGCTCAAGTCTTTCTCCTCTGGATTTTCTGAGAGAAATTAAAATATGGGAGGAAAATGGGCCAGCAGTTTTATGTCCACATGTCTGTTCTTCTGGGTTGTCTTCTAAATATGTATTCCTGTTGAGTTCTCATGTAAAATTCATACTGAGACAAATTGATTTAATTCCTATGTGCATTTTCCTGGACTGAAGACTAAACAGTGAAATAGTAGAGTCTGGAAGAAAAATTCATAAAACTTTCCTTTTGTACTTCAATTTTGAAGAATAACAATATGCCCTCAATAACTGTAACCTGACATACTGAATGTGGACCAATTTTCTCTTGAGAAATAAGGTGTGTAATTGAAATATACTTATATAAATTCAGACATAATTTTTCTAATTGATGGTAATACCTTTATTCAAAGGAGAATATTGTAGATACAACAAATTCATGTTGACAACAGGACTTAAAATAAGCAGAAACCCAGATTGACCATTTGCTAACCTTACCCACTGCTTAAGTGAGTTTTTAAATTTTTTTTAAAGATTTTATTTATTTATTAGAGAGCACGAGCTGGAGGGGGTCCGAGGGGGAGAGGGAGACACGGGGCTCCACGTGGGGCTTGATCCCAGGACCCTGGACCTGAGCTTGAAGGCAGACGCTTAACCGACTGAGCCATCCAGGCACCCCTTAAGTGAGTTTCTTCATAATATATGTGTATAAGTAGACAAATACAAATGGGTAGCTGTTAGTGTTTTTATTTTAACTTTTTTATTTTGCAGAATTTCAAATACGGATACAACTAGAGTGGCTAGTATAACAAACCCCTCTGTAACCTATTACACAGCACCAGTGATTTTGTTCTGTCTGTATCCTCTCTCGGCCCAGATGATTTTGAAGCAGTTATCAGATCATTTCATTTGAAAATATTTGAGGTCATATCTCGAATGATAAGAAAGACTTCTTTTAAAAACATAACCGCAATTCATTGGCACACATGAAAAAAAATACAAAACACATTTCCTTAATGTTATCAAGTCTTTGTTCAGATTTCCCTGATTGTCTCACAAATGCCTTTTAAAAACAGTTTAGTTTGTTTAAGGTCAAGAGGGGTTCATATATTGCAATTAGGTGATGTCTCTTTTAAAAAAACATCTTTTTTGGGATAGTAACATACCATAAAATTCACCCCTGTAAAGTGTATAGTTTAGTGGTTTTCGTGTATTTACAGAGTATATTCATAATCTGAATTTAGAACACTTTCATTACCCCCTAACAAACACCTACTTATTAGCAATTATTCCCCATTCCTGCTCTCCCCACCTCCCAGCCCTACATAATGATTAAACTACTTTTTCTCTCTAAAGATTCACCTATTTTGGGCTTTTCCTATAAATGAAATCATATAATGTGTGGTCTTTTTTCGTGTCTGACTTCTTTCACTTAGCATAATATTTTTAAGGTTTATCCAGGTTGTACTATGTACTAGAACTTCATTGCTTTTTTATGGCTGAATAATTTCCATTGTATAGATATACTCCTTTTTATTTATTCATCAGTTGATGGGCACTTGATTTGTGTTGTTTCCACTTTTTGGCTCTTAAGAATAATGCTGCTCAGGGGTGCCTGGGTGGCTCAGTCAGTTGAGTGGCTGCCTTCGGCTCAGGTCATGATCCTGGAGTCCCAGGATCGAGCCCCGCATCGGGCTCTCTGTTCAGTGGGGAGTCTGCTTCTCCTTTTGCTCCTCACCCCACTCTCGTCCTCACTCTCTCACTCTCTCTCTCAAATAAATAAAAAAATCTTAAAAAAAAAAAAAGAAAATTGCTACTCAGAACATTTGTGTGCACCGTTTTGTATGGATGGATGTTTTTATTTCTCTTAAATATATACCTAGGAGTGGAATTGCTGGGTCAAATCGTAACTCTGTGTTCAATCATTTGAGGACCAGTCAGACTGTTTTGCATGGTGGCTGCATCATTTTACATTGCCACCAGCAGCGTATGAAGGTTCCAGTTACTCACCAACACTTATTATCTGTCTTTTGCTTTTAGCCATCCTAGTGATGCCAGATGGGCCGAGGTCCTGAGAGGGAGGGCCTCAGGCCTCTTGCTTTGAGTGTTCTTGGCTTTGTGTGAGAAAGAATTCGAGAGCAAGCTGTTTAGAAAAACGGACAAAAATTTATTTAGAAGTGAGAAAGGAGTTACGTCACAGAGAAAATAGTGATCTCTTCTCCCAGGTGAGGAAGAGGACCCCCCCTTTGCTTCTAAGAAAGGGTTTTATAAGTTTTAAAATTAGCTAACTCTGTAGGGAGGGGCTTACTCCTTAACTTTGGGTTTATCATTTACATTGGGTGGTTAGTTTTGCCATTGTCTTAGGGTTGTGAAATTACCCACAGGGAGCAATTTTAAGAATGTCCAGCCTTTGTGGCTTTTACTGCCAGAGGGAGTGGGGTCTTGTGGTCTTCCATGAGTCGGATCTTGTGACTCTGTCTACTACCTGCTGACTTTTAGGTTAAGGGTCAGTCTAAAACCAGAATGGCTTTACTTTTATCAGCTTGTCTCCTGAGTCTCCCTTCCCTCCTACCTCACTAGAGTGTGAAGTAGTATCTCTTTGTGGTTATGATTAGCATTTCCCAGATGAAAAATGAAATTGAACATCCTTTCATGTTCTTATCGACCATTTGTTTATCTTCTTTAGAGAAATGTCTCTTCAAATCCTTTGCCATTTTAAATAAATACTGAATGGTAAGAGTTCCTTATATACAGGCATAACTTGGATATATTGAAGGTTTAGTTCCAAATGACGGCAATAAAGTGGATATTGCAATAAAGCATGTCAAATAAATTTTTTCATTTCCCAGTGCATATAAAAATTATATTTACACTATACTGTAGTCTGTTAAGGGTATAATAGCATTGTATCTTAAAAAAAGCACTGTATATGTTTTAATTAAAAAATAATTTATTGCTAAAATATACAAACCATCATGTGAGCTTTCAGTGAGTTGTAATCAATCACTGATCACAGATCACCATAACAAATATAATAATAATGGAAAAGTTTGAAATATTGCAAGAATTACCAAAATGTGATACACAGACACGAAGTGAGCAAATGCTTTTGGAAAAATGGTACCAATAGGCTTGCTCAACACAGGGATGCCACAGACCTTCAATTTGTAAAAAAAAAAAAAAAATGCAACATTTGCCAAGTGCAGAAAAGTGAAGCATAATAAAACGAGGTATGCCTGTATTCTAGATACATGTTCCTTATCACATATTGGATTTGGAAATATTTTTTCTCAATGGGTGGCTTTTTTAAAATTTTTTTAACAGTGTCTTTTGGAGCACATAAGTTTATAGTTTTGATGGTGTCCAGTTTATCTTTTTCTTGTTGATTGTGCTTTTGGTGCCATAAAGATCATTGCCTAAACCAAGGTCATGAAAATTTATGTGTATATTTTCCTCTAAGAAGGTATATATATTACAGTTTTATCTCTTATATTTAGGTCTTTGATCCATTTTGAGTTAATTTTTGTGTGTAATTATCAGGTAGGTGTTCAAATTGATTCAGGGGCGCCTGGGTGGCTCAGTCATTAAGCATCTGCCTTCGGCTCAGGTCATGATCCCAGGGTCCTGGGATCGAGCCCCACATTGGGCTCTCTGCTTGACGGGAAGCCTGCTTCTCCCTTTCCCACTCTCCTTGCTTGTGTTCCCTCTCTCACTCTCTCTCTCTCTCTGTCAAATAAATAAATAAAATCTTTAAAAAAAATTGTTTCTTTCATATGTGGATCTCCAGTTGTCCTAGCACCATTTTTTTGAAAAAATGATTCTTTCCATGATTTAATTGTTTTAGCATCCTTGTCAAAATTCAGTTTACTATGAATGTGAGGGTTTATTTCTGGATGTTAATTTTTTCGCACTGATTTTCACTGTTTAGTCTAATGCCAATACCACACTGTCTTGAGTATTGTAGGTTTTGAAATTAGGAAGTGGGAGTTCTCCAGCTTTGTTCTTTAATTGTTTTGATTTCAATTTTTAGGGATTGTGGTTTTTGAAATTTAGTTTTATACATATATAAAATATTTTCACAATTCTGAATTTGAGTCTACAAAACAATTTACAAAGAAGTCTAGCTTCTCTTCCTATCCCCTCTGCCCTTTCCTTCCTTGCCCCCCTTTTTATGGGTTGTCTGTTTTTAAAAGTAAAAGCAAATTCATGTATGTGTGAATAGATCTCTATGTGTGTGTATATTCTTATCTCCCATCTTTTGAGAGATAAATGGTAGCATACGATTTATACTTCTCTCCACCTTGCTTGTTCCAATTAACATTATGTCCTGGTGTTTACTCCATATTGCATGTAGACATATTTCTCATTCGCTTTTATAAGTTGTGTACTACTAGATTGTGTGATATGCAGTCATTATTTAGCTAGTCCCCTTTTGGGATTCTTTCTTTCTTTTTTTTTTTAAGATTTTATTTATTTATTTGATTATTTCTAGTCTTTTGCTATTACACATATTTTTGTTGTGAATAACCCTCTGCACTTCTTTTTATATCTTTGTCAGTGTATCTTTGGATAATCCGATTTTGCTAGATGTTTCAAAACTCTCCTTTAGTGGGGTTGTGCCGTGCTGTCATTTCACCAGTATTGTAGGAAATGCCCATTTTCCCACAGTCTTACTATAACTACATGTTCACTGACTTTTGTATTTTTCCCCCATTTGATAGGCAAGAAATCATGTCTTTGTGTGGCTCTATTTTATGGATCTCTTACAAAGAAGGTTGAGGTTTCTTTTTTATATATATAAATGATTAAGAGTCAATTGGGCACCTGGCTGGCTTAGTTGGTAAGAGCATGAGACTCTTGATTTTGGGGTCATGAGTTCGAGTCCCTTGTTGGGGATAGAGTTTACTTTAAAAAAAAAAAAGGGCCAGTTGCATCTATTTCTGTGAACTGTCATAGCTTTACCCATTTTTATATTGTGTTGGTCTTTATTTTTAAAAGATTTTATCTATTCATTGTGTTAACATTTATCACTGATACATCAATGCTATGTATAGCTGTTTTTTACTGGGCTGAGAGACTCCTTGTAATAAAAAGTTTGAATCCACATTTTGATGTTTGATTGCTGACAACTGTTTTAAACCTCACCTCTCCCTCTTTTGCCCCATATAAAGCTTCCCAGCAGGTCTGAAAATGGCTGGAGAGAGCAAGGAAAGGAGGCTGGGTTGGGGTTTCTCAGTTGGCTGGGATTAGGGCTGGGGTGAGGGTTCCCCCTCACTGATTAAACATCTGTCAGCACCAAAGGAGGGAGCACTTGGGCTTTCTTATCAGCTTTTTTCTCTGGCAGGCGACAGCCAGGGCACTACTGAATTTGTTAGCTGTTGGCTTCTGGATGGGCCCTACCTAATCTCTTTGGGACACCATGCCAGAACAGTCTCTCTCTACTGTCTGAAGGCCAGGCTGGGTCTCTGGCTTGGGTTTGGGCCTAGTGTGATTTGAAGAAAGGATATCAAGGGAGAAAAAGAAGAATGAGTTGAGGGGAGAATGTCTTTATATCTATAAAATAGCTGATAAATAGGCTCTTAAGACATCTCTGATAAATGTTTGACAAGGTGGCTGCATTGATGGCCAACAGTCCTGTGACAGCATTATTTCCCAGGATGCTTTTGAGAGAAAGCTCATTGGTTAATAGGGCATTTTGCCTTTGATCCTTAATAATTTAATCAAAGGACAATACATCTGTTCTAGGGTCCATTATAATCCCTTGTTTTAAGGCCAGTTAGAAGACTTGTGATTGCCAAGGGAAGACTTTTGACTTAATCCGTTTAGAGCTTGAGGCTTGGATTTGACTGTACTTTGTGTTAGAATTGAGGCCTTTGAATTTTGAAATTGGTCTTAGAGCTGAAACCATAAAAAATTTCAATCTCAGTAAGGATCGGTCTAACATTTTAAGTGCAGCTGGGACTTGGAGCTATATAACGTGTAAAATGGAATGATTACTTGATTTCAATTGATACTGGTAAATTTGTGATAGATAAAGAAAGTAGCAAGAGGTTCCTGGATAAGTTTCTCAGAGAGCCACCAAGAGATCTTAAATTTCATCAAACTCTTTACCATGTCTTTGTGTGATAGGATTAATGGTGTTAATTTTCTTTTTGCTGTTTTCTGCCATGATTGTATATTACTTTCTCATCCTTTCATTAAAAGTGCTTGACAGATTTTTACTTTAATAATTTTGAAATTTGTCTTTTGAATTTTGAATAAACTTTTGCAGATTTTTGGAAAAATGAAGAAGGAATTTATGTGATTCACATATCATAATAAGTATTATGATATTGCTTCTTTTGCCCTATTGTAATTTATATATTCTTTTATTTTTTTAAATTTTTATTTATTTATTTTCCCGATTTGGGTTTTACTATGCAGGAAAACAAAAACCAAGGAATATAGTCCATTTCAGTCTTCATGGTTCAAGTAAAAAAGTTCTCATTATTCAGGTACACACTTTGGCCAAGCCAAATTTAGCTTTATCACATTTAAAAAATTCATGTATAAAAAATAAGTATCAGTCCAAAATATAGATTATTTTAAGAGCCTGCAGGAAATAGAAAAATAATTAAATTTGGTGGAAATGTTAAAACTGCCTGAAATTCAGAAAATGTAATATTAATGTATTGTATGAAACATTATTGTTAGGAGCAACTGCACTCAGGGGTAGCTTGTTTCGCTGTTTATGTTTAGACCAGAGGAACTCAACATGGATCTCTTAATTCATATTACTAAGAGGGGCCCTTCAAGCGCTCCCTTCCCTCTGCCCAGCACTCCAAAAACCCTCTTGTGGTCCTACTGCCCCAGCCTTTTGAAGCAGCATAATGGCCAGCCATTCTAGAATTGTAGAGCTTTTTGGAAATTATTCTTTTAAGGGAATAAGTCTTTAAGAATTACTGGTTCAGACATACATGCCTCATAACAGTCTAGATTGCTTCAAAATATGAATTAAGCTGTAATTAAATTTTTTATATTTAATTTTAAACCTTAAATTTATGTATGAGTAAGACCCAATATTTTAATGAAAGTAGGAAAATAGTATATAGTATCATCTGTTTGTCTCAAATACAAGTACAGTGAGTAATAATGGGAATGACAACATAACAGAATAGCACTTGTATATATTTGCCCAAACTGAATTAACTTTCTCTAAATTCAAGGTGTACGCAGGTTGAATATTTGATCTTAGTGAGTGTTACGCTATCAGTTCAATGCTTAAACACTGAAGGAGGCATTTCTTCATTCACACAGACTTTTTATGTATGTATATGCTCATCTGTAAATAGTTTTCATGATTGGTATCTAATTACTAAATATGTGTATTTCAAATTAGTCTGTGTGACCCTGTGTTCTTCTCTTCAGAAGCATCAGTAATACATTTGGCCAATAGTTTGAAATATGAACTGTAAATTAACATAGCATATAATCTTGATAATATGAAAAGAGTCCCAAATACTTTTTTGAAATGTTAACATTAGAAAAAAACAAAACTACAATCATCAGCTCTATTTCCTGAAAATTCAGTTGAGGTAACCTCTGCAAGCCACAGCTCCACACTTGCACACAGTTCTGACTCTCTTTTTGGCTGGGCTGTGGTCAACAGAATCTGAAGATATATCTCCAGAAGCTTTCATTTGATAATCAAAGGTGAGCTCTTCTCCAGCATTTATGGTTCTTGTGGAAAATAATGCTATTCGGGGAAGATGGGTGTCAAGGTTGTCAATAAAAACATTGAACACCTGAAGATTTGGGTCACAACTGTGATTCACAAAATGAGAGACATTTCCATATCGGGCTGCATCCACTGTGAATTCATCAGATTCATAATCCAGATCAAAGAGATATGTGATTCCCTTGTTGTCATATAACTGCCCCCGTCTTTCAGCTTCTTCACTTGTGATTACCTCTCCAACATATTCCATGACAAAACTCATTCTTTTAATCTTCACAATCTTTACACCCCAGCCACAGCCATTGCTAGTTCGAAAGATGCAAAGAGAATACTGGGTGCCTTTTTGTACAATCCTATTGGGACAATCAGGTCCACATTGACACCTTGAGTTGCATTCATAAATGGGGGTACCAGATGGGATTTTAATTTGCTGGTTTTTATTATAAGCCAAAAGAACTCCAGCTTCAGCAGGACATTTCTCAAAGAAGCAGTCTGTACATGAACAACCAAAGATAGCTTCATTGACTAAGCTGATTCCAGGAGCTGGTTTGTATTCATTAATGTAGTAGAAGTCTGAAGGTAGGCCCTCTAAGTCAACAGTATTTTCAACAAAAATCATTCCTTTATGATTCTTTCTTCTCTTGAGTTCATCTTGCCATCTCTGCAGAGCTCCCCTTTGTTTGGCCTTCTTTACAATATATTTGGCAACGGCAGGTTTCAAAGCTTTGTTACTGTCTTTTAGAGATATTGCTTTGCCTTTGTTTACCAGAGATAAATAATTATGCTTGTCATTAGAGAACTGTTGAAGTAGTAATGGGCACTTGAGATTTTACAAAGGTTCCCAAGTATTTGTAGAATCTGGCCATCCTTTCCATTTTACAAGATAATAGTCCATATCCTCCTCGCACCTCGGCCCCAGCCGCCGCCATCTTGAGGAGCTTTCATTCCTATATATTCTTTTAAAAGCTCTTCATATGTTGTTTTTAGCCATAGGATTTATACTTGCTTTGATGAATACATGTTACATTTGTTGTTACATGGTAGGGATTCTGAATGAAAAAATGGCGATTCATTTATATATAAATATAAAAGCTGCTCTAGATAAGTAATTAATGATTTATTTAAACAATGGCTCTCTTGGCAGGTTCTGTGGCCAAGAACTTCTTCACCAAATCAAAGCTTTCCATTCCAGAACTCTCCTACATATGGTAAGTATAATTAATGCCATATTAGTATTATAGTGTCATTACATACCCATTCCTTAGCTCCTACTTTTGTATTTTGAAAGTCTTATCTTTTGAACGTTTTCTCTTTTAAGATTTTATTTATTTATTTGACAGAGAGAGAGCACAAGCAGGGGGACCTGCAGGCAGAGGGAGAGGGAGAAGCAGGCTCCCTGCTGAGCAGGGAGCCCGATGCCGGGCTCGATCCCAGGACCCTGGGATCATGACCTGAGCCGAAAGCAGATGCTTAACCAACTGAGCCACCCAGGCTCCCCTTGAATGCTTTTTTAAAAAGGATTTATTTATTTATTTTAGAAAGCACAAACGGGGAGGGGCAAAAGAGAGGGAAGGAATCTCAAGTGACTCCCCACTGAGCGTGGAGCCTGACACGGGCTCAATCTCACGACCCTGAGATCATGACCTGAGCTGAAATCAAGAGTCAGACACTTAACTGACTGTGCCACCCGGGGGCCCCTTGAATGTTTTTTTTTTTTTAACAAACTAAGAGAGTAGAACTTAAGATTTTTGTTGCTGTGAAGTTATTATAACTATATTATATGTATTATTATATATAAGTTATATGAAAGAAGTTATATATATTATAAGTTATATGAAAAGCACAATGTTCAGTGTGTGGTGAACTGTATCTGTTAGCTGTTATTTAAAAATTAATTTCACAATTATTATCTTCCTGTAGATCCCTTTCCTGTCTAAACAATTGTGTGGGCATATGAGCATTCCCATCTTGTGAATTTTAATTTCAGATATTTCTACTTGATATGATGCAAGTAACCAGAGGATCTTGAAAAACTCTTCTTTAAAATATTTTATGAGGCCAGGTGAACAGAAGGTCCACAAATGTTTTGGAATTAAGTCAAATTTGACTATTCTAGCTGCCTCTGAGCTTCATCAGTTTGGCTGGTGTTTATCAGCTGGGCCCTAGTTCAGGCTTGCAGCTGTGGTGCGCATTGCATCTTGCTGCTGCGCCGGCTGCAGCCCATGCTCCAGAAGGGCTGTACCGGGACAGTCCAGATGGCTGATTGGCGTTTATGAGAACGCTCGGTGCCTCTGTAAACTCCCGGCTGTGTGTGGGCTCTTCTTCCTCAAGCCTAGGGGGGGAGACCACGCTGATATAAATATATAATTAAAACATTGGAATATTTACGTAAGACTTTTTTCACGAGGATTTACAAAAATTGTGGCAGGATTTAAAATTGCTTGTCATGTTTTGTGCATTTTATTGGAAAACTATTCCAGTAACACTTGTGCGTGCCAGTGTATCTGGGATTCTGAGCTGGATTTAGGTTCTTTAGCAATATATTCTAGCATAATTCTTTTTTTTTTTTTTTTTTTTTTTTTTACAACAAGCCTTGTATTAGATTTTAAAGCTAGGGGGGAAAAAGGAATTATCATTTTGAAAAGAAGACACTCTGTTTTGGCAGAATTCCCAGTCTTAACATTATTGGCATGAGGCTTCCCATCTTTTTGTTGAGACATACCCATGAAAGCTGAATGGTATTCTCTCCACCCAGCGTTTGAAACCGTTCCCTGACTTCTCACCCTGGGGAGCTGCTTTCAGGGCTGGTGTATTCTAAATATTGGAGGGGCAGAGAATGTGAATGGTCCAGAGGAAAGTTAGGGAGCTTACCTTCTGTATTTCTTCTTTGAAATAGTGATACCTTTCCAGCACGGTTTTATATCTGTCTCTATACACCTAAGAGACTGGTTGATCTTAGTTACTTTGGCAAATAGGTTTCTTTTGTGCTGAGTAAATAGGTCTGTGCCTTTCAGTGGGAAACACTGACTGAGGCAAAGATAAGCCTTTTCAAGACTCTTCCTTTTTTCCTTTCTGTCTTATCTGGTTCCAGCCTTCCCAAGTTGCTGGTTTTATCTGAAAACATAATTCAACCAGTATTTATTATTACTATTATTATTTTTGTAAAGATTTTATTTATTTATTTGGCAGAGAGAGAGAGCGCGAGAGAGGGAACACAAGCAGGGGGAGTGGGAGAGGGAGAAGCAGACTCCCTGCAGGGCAGGGAGCCCAATGCAGCACTCCATCCCAGGACCCTGGGATCATGACCTGAGCCGAAGGCAGACGCTTAACGACTGAGCCACCCAGGCACCCTCTCAAGCAAATTTTTGATATAACATTTATGTGACTTAAAAAGTTCAGGGTTCTTCCTTAAAGCTGAAAAATAAAATGCTCATTTCTGAGCTTGGGTAACTGCATAATGGCTGGGACAACTGTAAAAAGGTTGAGGCCAGCCCTTCCTCTGACTATTGTGAGCGCCAGGTCTGGAGCTCTTCACACCACCCATTTACTGAATGACTGTCGACTAATGAATTCTGAGCCTTATTTTCCTTTTTGTGCTATAGTTTCTTGTCTTGTGTACTCAGTGTTGTAAAACAGACCTGCCAGAGAACCTGAAGAGTGTAAAGTTTTGTTTATAAAGTGGTGCTGGTACCAGTGCTGTTGATCAGCCGTTGTCCTCCAAGTGCTCCCTGAGATTTCATAGGAGTTTGGAGACTTTGCAGGGCCACCACCAGAGAGCCTGGGAGTTGTGTTTGCATATATTTTTTTTAAAGATTTATTTATTTATTTTTTTAATTTGAGGTGGGGAAGGGGCAGAGACGCAAGTGGGGTGGGGAAGGGGCAGGGGCAAAGGGAGAGGGAGAGGGAGTCTTAAGCAGACTCCGCACTGAGCACAGAGCCGGACATGGGTCTCCATCTCAGGACCCTGAGATCATAACCTGAGCTGAAACCAAGAGTCGGATGCTTAACGGACTGCGCCACCCAGGCGCCTCATGTTTGCATATTTGAGGCTGAGTATCTTTTCCTCTAAGCCCCATGTTAGGTGCTTGTGACATGTTATATTTAGGGAACTTAGTGATGCTGACTGCGATGGAGCCCTGACCCTGCCTGAGTTCTGTGCTGCGTTTCATCTCATTGTGGCTCGGAAAAACGGTTACCCACTACCCGAGGGCCTGCCTCCGACTCTGCAGCCAGAGTACCTGCAAGCAGGTAAGGCCTCATCAAAGTCCTAAACCTTTGACATTTTCCATCCAGGCCTTATTACAAGCACTTTTTGTGCCTTAAGGTGGTATCCAGGCACTTTGCGGAGTCTTTTGTGTCTAAAGTTCTTTAACCGATATTAGCCTCTCACATCTTATGATATAAGTAATAGGGATGATGTGGGTAAGTGTGAGTCATCTGTTATTCCCATTCTATTGTTCTCTGGATGGATTTGAACCAGTCACTTACCCTTTCATGAAAATTGTGGAGTAGGCAAGTACTGAACTTCCTAGCTGATGTAAAATGAAGAGAAAGATCTTCCTGTAGAGCCAAGTGCTGACTTGGCATCTTTAGGTACATCCTAGTGTCCCCAAGTGGCCTGGGGCAATGGAATGGAATGGAACTCTTATACCTAATGAAGTTAAAAAATTACATGCCAGGAAATGTACAAAGCGCTGAGATCCTAATGTACCCTTGAAAAATTTTTACATCTGTATACATCTATGTAACTGCAATCAGATAGAGATACAGAACATTTGGCACACCACAAGGTTGGACTAGAACTCTTTGTCTTTCTCCTTAATAAAGCTATTACCCCAGACCCTTTCAATAAGAAAGAGTCATGGTGAGTCTAACATTTATATCAATTCTTTTGGAAGATTAAGTGTCTCTTGCCCTTTTCAAAGGCAATGGGCACTGATAACGATTTCTGTTACTCAGAGAAGTATAGCTTCCGTTGAAAGGGTCCAAAAACAGTTGGTGCTGTCAATAAGCTTTCTCAATTTTTAGGGAAGGCCTCTTAAAAACATGAGACCTCTAGTTATGGATGATTATTGGCAAGGAGGAGCAATGTCTAAAGAAACTGAATAGTCTTTAACAGAGTACACATTTCATGTTTAGATTTGAAAAAGGCCCTAGTTTCTCATGTCTTGTCCCTTATAACAACACTAGATTTAAAGTGGCCAGTGACTTATCTAAGTCAGTCTTGGGGTCTCTGACTCTTAAATAAAAAGTCTGTCATTTTCTGTATTTGGTAGTGAGTGGGCCAAAGCTCAACCAAAGGGAAGAGACCAAGTGTGTGGCCAGTGCCAGTGGCAGGTAAACATGTTGGGGGAAGAGTGACCCGTTCTGGGATCTTCCCCAAATGCCTCCATAAAATATATGAAGGGGAGAGTTCAGGCAGTAGAGGCTACTACTAATTTCAGAGCTTAGACTTTGCAAATAGCAGCTGCTTTCTGACTGCAGCAGGATGTAACTCCAGCCTGCTACCCTTCCTTCCAGGCTGGGGGCGACCCTCATGGGTCCCCAGGAACCAGTTTGCAATTGGGCAGCATGGCAGACAGCTCTATTTCTACTTTGGTGTCTATCTCACCATCTTTTTTCTCTCTGTTCCTCCTGGATTGAGGCAAAGAAGAGCTAACATCCTTGGGGCTATCTTGGCAAGGGTGTAGCTTTCATAACCAAGTCAGCATCAGGTCATCCAGGAGCCCCTTCTCCTGGGAGCAGGGCCACATGGAGCTTTGTCTCTCTTTCATGGGGGATGAACAGCTGACCAGAGGGCAAAGGTCTGCTCCCGGGCTATTTAGTTACATTTAATAATACTGTCACTGTTTCCTATTGCGAGCCCTGGGCAGAGTCCTGGGTAACCTTATTTCCCCAACCCACACTTAGCTTTCTGTTTTTGGGTCTTGATGAATGCTGTTGTACTGTTCTGATGCCCTATGGCCATGGAACCTCTGCCAGGTGTTATGACTCCTTGTTTGAGGAGTCACTTTGTAGGTGTCCAAGTATTTCATGGATTGTTTCAAAAGCTACTGATAAAATTTTAAAAAAATCTGAAAGCCCTGTGCAAAAAGTGTGTTAACAGAAGACAAGTAGCTTCCTTTGATTCCTTCACTGCTGCAAATGGCTGCTTTTGCCTTGCTTATGCAGTAGCGGGGAGTCTGTAAAACAGAATGCCAGTCAAGAGGCATCTTCCTTCCTGATCTTTTGTGGAGGCTGTCAGCATGCATTTAGACAGAAACAACTGAAGAATTCATCACATACCCTTCAATTAAACAAAACTGCACATCGTTTCCAGAGCTTGTGGGATTCATCTTAAATAATAATTATATAGTTCTAACAAAAACCATGAGAGACCTCATAAAACTCCATCAAACTCAGTGATGGTATATTTTAGGCAAACCCTGCGGGTTTAACAGTTAACTTTTTAATGTTTATCGCTCATGTTTATTTTTGTATATAGCTCAAGAAAATGGCCAGAACTGTCAAGGTTTTCTCTGTACTTTTAGACTTTGCATATATGAGTGATTCTGTTCATTTTGGGGGTTCATTTTTATGGTATCCCATTTGGCTTTTTTAAAAGCTTACCTTTTGTTGCAGTTTTTTTTCTGATCTACATTCAGTCTTAGAAAAATCTAATCCAGTTTTCAATAAGATTGGTAAAGAGTATAAATTTGGTTGATACCATCATGCATTTACAATTATACAAGCTTGTTTTCAATAAAATAATGAAACAAATTGTTGTATCTGATTTTTTCTCTAATAGTGGAAATTAACGGACACAGTTGGAAGGAAAAGTTGGATTACTTGGTAGCTTACCCATGGGCCTTTGATATTTTCCTGTCTAGGTGACTGGGTGGATTGTGGTATAGATTTTTACTGTAGAGTTTGTTAAAAATAATTGAGCACTGTGTTACTGTCACTGGTCAGAATGCTGTATAGAAGAGCATCATGGAACTTGCTGGCAGTTAGAGGATCGATGTTCAATAAACTCATGTACTTGTAATTGGAGGCAGTGATAGGTGCTGTGGAGAAGCACAGCTGCAGCAAGAGGGTGTATGACCTTGGGGAAGACTTCCTTAAATACTTGAGCTAGGATGTGAAGGATGGGCTAAGGGTTAGGGTTATGTAGGTGAAGAAGGGGGCAAGAGTAGGCTCTGGGCAGAGGGGGCAGCGGGTATGCTGCAGAGGCCCTCAGAGGGGACTTGGAGCACGGGAGGCATGGAAAGTGCAGGCCACAGCAGCTGGAGTGCTAGGAGCTAGAGCTGGAGGGGCTGGGGATGAGGCTGAAGAGGAAGGTACGGAACAAACCATGGGCAATGACGTTGATGGGTTTTAAGCAGGGAAGTGCCACAGAGTTGCTGTCGGAAAGGATTATGCTGGTTGCTGATTGGAGAGCAGGTTTTGAGGAGCAAGGGTGCAAACTCAAAGACCAGGTTATGGCAGCAGTCCAGTCAGATCCACAGGGGGCTGGCACTAGGGAGGTGACAGTGGAGTTGGAGAGATGGGGACAGGCTAGAGAGAAATTTAGCAGTTAACAATGGTATTTGTAGGTTTGGAAAGTGTTAGGTTTCTCTGTAGCAAGACCCTCTCATGATAAAGCTTAAGTCATGTAATTCTAGTCAAATCACTGATCGGTAAACTAGAAGCAGAAATCTTAAACCTGCTCGTGTGGCCGGATTGTGGAATGGTACTTGGAAAGGTGTTTTGCTGAATTTTTACCAAGGAAATGAGACTAAGTGGTATAGTCAGAAAAATCGCCAGGGCCCGAGATTTGCCCTACTTGATATTGTTGCAGGATCGCAGGGTTCTTGTCTCATAGAGTCGAAGAATGACCTCTCAGACACAAAGGAGTGAAGTGAAAGTTTATTAAGTAAGGTGAGAACAGAAAGGAAAGAAAAAGCTCTCTAGAATGAGAGGGGTCCTGAATGGGTTGCCACTGAGGGCTTTTAGGCCAGTCTTTTATTGAAAACTTGACCCAGGGAGCTTGTGGCATTGAGATTCTTGGGCCATCTTGGTCTGAGCAGGGACTATTGATAACACCCTTAATGACTGACTTCCTGTGATTACACTGTAGCTGCCAAAGAAAAATATTCCCTCACATCCGGGGCCAGATGGTCTGGTCTACTCCCTTATCTCTTGTTCACTCTTTCAGAGCCTAGTCAAGGGCCCCCTATCTCTCCCTGCCTATACCTTAACCCTCTCCTTACTCAATATCAGTGAAATTCAGACCAAAGTAAGCAAACGAACAATTTAAGGTGCTTGTACTAAACTGCATGTGGTAACTGTTAGTGGCCAGTACTTTACTGCAGAGGGAAGGTGGCATTTCAAACTCTGGTGGGGGTGGGAGGGTGAGAAAGGATTAAAAATAATGCCAGTCCATTTTTAACATTTGATTCAAAAAATTGTTTAAATGTGGCATTAAAATTTTGATTTCTTAATATCTGGTCTTGACAAATTTGTAGCTTCTGGTTATTGTCTACCATGATCTGCTTTTTCCTCCTTGAGATATTGACCAATTTCCTGGTTGTTGAGACATTTCTTTCTTAATTACTTTGTGACAAAGTGGTGAAACAGAATCTGCTTCTCAGAAATGGTGTGTTGAGTATTAGTTTACCAAGTAGCACAATCCGCTCGGCTATCCAGCTAACATAGCAGCTTCTGTCACTGTTCTATGTTAGAAGAAACCCAAAATGTGATTCTTCTCTCCTTGTTGTAAATCAGCAAGAACTTGTGCTCTTGTTTTTGTTATTTTTGCTAACCAAAAGAAAAGAGTATTTTATTTATTTTTTTTTAAGATTTTTTATTTATTTATTTGACAGAGAGAGACACAGTGAGAGAGGGAACACAAGCAGTGGGAGTGACAGAGGGAGAAGCAGGCTTCCTGCGGAGCATGGAGCCTGATGCGGGGCTCGATCCCAGGACTCTGGGATCATGACCTGAGCCAAAGGCAGATGCTTAACGACTGAGCCACCCAGGAGCCCCGAAAAGAGTATTTTATAAAGTCTTCTTGGTCCCCTATCATTAAAAGATCATGTCTATTTCAAACAATAATAGCTAAAATGAAGTATTTCCTTAGTTAATGTTTATAGCATTAAAACTGTCACCAGTTACTGCCATTTAAAAATTAATGCTAGTAGCATAGTTAAAATGTAAAGTATTATGATAGTGAAGGTTACTACTATGTTACAACGTAAATGCTGACAGTTCAAGTCCCTGGTCTTGCATTTACCAGCTATATGACCTTGAGTAAGTTGCTTAACTTCCCTGCTCCTTAGTTTCATCACATGTAAAATGGGGATGATAGAAATAGTAGGCTGTGTATGTGAAGAACTTAAAACAATACCTCGGCGTGATTACTGCCATAAGTAGTGTATTGGTGCTGGCAGATTTTGTTGTTATATTTCCTAAGCACAGAAGAGCTGAAAGGAAACAATGCCTGCTGTGAATATAGTATATATTCTTATGTATTTTTGTTTCTTCTTAGCCTTTCCTAAGCCCAAGCGGGAGTGCACGCTGTTTGATTCTTATTCTGAGTCAATGCCTGCGAACCAACAACCCCGTGACTTGAATCGGATGGAGGTAAAAGATCTTCATATGTTAATAAGTAAGGATGTGTGTGGAATTAAAATCCATTAGCCTGTGTTCTTTACAAACTCTAGAAAATCCACTTTCATAACATTTTCTCTTCATGCCAAGTCCTTATGTTGAGGCTCAGCCTTTCAAATCTAGACACCAGATATATCTATAATTACTTTTTTCCTTTTCTTCCTAGAACTAGATTTAGTGAAATAAGCAAAGTAGTCTCTTGACCTTCTAGGGGTGAAATGTAGGTGTAGACAAAGTAAGCCAGAAAAATGCTAGGCAAGTTGTTTATTTTAACCAAGCTTTAATTTTGAAGTAAATGTAGGAAAGTATTTTTAGTAACTGAGTATGAACAAGGTTTAATGGACCCAGAATAGTTTTAAGAGGAAGTTTGAGAACTGTGTAAGAGGATCCCAAAATACAATCAAAGCTGCCTTCTCCCTCAGGGTTTTTAGTGTTGGGACCAAATGAGGACTGATTTGGATTATCCCCAAGAGAAATCTGTAGAATTCCTACAGTGTTGGGCCATTGATGTAAGGTCCTAGCCACATGCTTAGGTATGCATCAATAAATAGGAGTCATTATGGTTATTGTTAATGTCAGCACACTCTTCATCATCATCATCACTGTTAGGATTGCTGTGATGACACCTTATGATATCTGCTGTTCCCATCCTAAAAAAAATCTGGAAATGTGTAATAAATGGAGGTTTATTCATAGGCTGCTATTATAGTCCCCTGACCCTGGTTAAAACTGTTGCAAGATGATGGAAGTCAGATGCAGGATACAGGGCCATTTCTTTGATTTCTTGCAACTGTGTGTGATTATTTTTTTTCCACGGGGCTCTCATGCATATAGTCTGTGTTGCAATGACATTCTCTGTTCCTCTGTGATGGAATCAGCCTGCTTCTGCAGTGTTCCCTCTGATAACACCTCTCTTGGCCTCTCTCCTACTCTTTCTTTGAGTCAGAGCCTCTGTTACTTTCCTTAACAGATTTCTACTCATGGGAAATAGGTATAAAGTGACATCAGGAAGAGTGATAAATGTGCATTTGAAGAGTTTTAGGTTTTTAAATTTCTTTTTTTTAAGAATGTGTATGACGGAGAAACAGATAACAATAGTTAGCCACTTTTCCCGACCCTCTGTATACTCTGGGGCTGCTGGCAATATCTGGAGACTTAGGCAGTTGCCCTGTTTTTGTTTGTTTGTTTGCTGTGGGTCCCTTTGCTTGTGTAAAATTATGAGGTTGATTTATTGAAAAATGTCATAAATTCTTATTCTTTCTCGATAAATGTTATGTTTCAACTTGCCACGGTATCAGGTGGCCTTTGCCCTTCCAACAGAAACAAATAATGCTGTGTTTTAGAGAAATTAATTACTGGCCTGTGTTGCTTTCTCCCATGTAGTCATTTATCATCTGTCTAAAAGGAAAGGAGCCAATATACAGTTGGCTGTGAAGTCTGTAAATGGAGATACTTTTAGACACACGCACACTCTGATGTCCTTGATGACATTATGGATATTCACCTTTATGGACCTGATGTGCAGCTAGTTTTATGTTAGATACTTTTGTATACTTTAAACTGGCTCTTTTGATGGGGGTTGGTGGTAGTTAAAATTCTTTGCTTTGCCCTGTCCAAACAAGAAAGCAAAACAACAACAACAACAACCACCACCACCACCACAACCACAACAATAACTCTTTCCCCACAAAGTTGTTATATTCTAGGGTGAGGTGCTTTTACATAGTCATGTAATAATATACAGAATTCAAGGATGAAGTAATGAGGTTAATTGAGGCTTTGGCCATTCTGGAAGTGTAGGTCAAATTTTAGTAGCTAATGATTAAATATTTCATTTTCTTCTATTTTATTCATTGTTCTTTCTACCAATCTTTTAATCTCTCATGAATGCATACATGGGATTTAAATAGATCTTGGTACTAGTCCTGTGAGGGATGGCTCCATATAGGTGTTTGTGCTGTGAATGAAGCTGTAGCTGATTCAGGTCATGAGAACTTTGCTCAGCAGTACAGATCAGATCTCTAGACACCAGAGCTGTAACCATGTACTTGTTTCCTTCAAGAATTAAAGATTATAATTTCAGGTAAAGTCCTCTTTAGCAGTGCTTCTTAGATTACTAGATTTCTTTCTTTTGTAAACAGCTTTACTAAAATATAATTCACATACTCAACTAAAGTATACAATCCAATGGTTTTTAGTGTATTAACAGAGTTGTGCAACCATCAGTATAGTCTTATTTTAGAACATTTTTCATCACTCCAGAAAAGAAAGCCTGTACTCATTAGCACTCACTGACTGTCCTCCCTTCCCCCCAGCCTCTGGTGATCAGTAATCTATTTTCTGTCTCCGAATTTGCCTATTGTGGATATTTCGTATAGAATCATAGAATATATGGTTTTTTTGGTGACTGCTTTCTTTCGTTTAATATAATGTTTCATTTTTAAAAAAATTTATTTATTTGAGAGAGAGAGCGAGTGAGCACAAGCAGGGTAAAGGTCAGAGGGAGAAGCAGACTCCCTGCTGAACAGGGAGCCTGATGTGGGGCTCGATCCTGGAACTCCAAGATCATGACCTGAGCCGAAGGCAGATGCTTAACGGACTGAGCCAGCCGGGTGCCCCTAGTATAATGTTTCAAAGTTTGTTCATGTTCTAGCATGTATCAGTGCTTCATTCCTTTTTATTGCTGAGTAGTATTCCATTGTGTGGATCTGCCACATTTTGTTTGTTCTTCAGTTGATGGACATTTGGCTTGTTCCCACTTTGGAGTTGTGAGGGAAAAAATGCTGCTGTGAACATTCATGTAGTAATTTTTTTGTGAGCACAATGTTTTCAGTTCTCTTGGGTGTTTACCTGGGGTGGAGTTGTGTGTCATATTGTAACTTGTGCTTAACGTTTTGAGGTACTGCCAAACTGCTTTCCTGAGCACCTGCAGCATTTTACATTCCTCTACCAGTAATGTATGAGGGGTCCAATTGTTCCACATCCTTATTAACGCTTGTTTTTGGGGCACCCGGGTGGCTCAGTCAGTTAAGCAGCCGACTCCTGGTTTTGGCTCAGGTCATGATCTCGGGGTCCTGGAATCGAGCCCCGTGTGGGGCTCCGTGCTTAGCGCAAGTCTGCTTGTCTCTCTCCCCCGCCCCCCTTTAAAATAAATAAATAAAATCCTTTAAAAAATACTTGTTATTGTTTGTGGTTTTTATTTTAGCCATCCTAGTGGGAGTGAAGTGGTTGGTATCTCATTGTGGTTTTGATTTAAGTTTCCTAATGATTACTGATGTGAGCATCTTTTCTTGTGCTTATTTGCTGTTTGTATATCTTCTTTGGTGAGATGTCTATTCAAATCTTTTGTCCTTTTATAAATTGGGTTATTATTGAGTTGTAAATATTCTTTATATATTCTGAATATAAGTCCCTTAATATATAATTTGCAAGTATTTTCTTTCTTTGGTTTTTCTTTTTCCTTTTTTTTTAAGATTTTATTTATTTGACAGAGAGAGGGAGAGAGAGAAAGAGCAGGGGAGCAGCAGAGGGAGAGGGAGAAGCAGACTCCCTGCTGAGCAGGGAGCCCGATGTGGGGCTCGATCCCAGGACCCCGGGATC